TTCTAATGTCCTGGCCCCACTGGTGGACTTCCTGATGGCACTGGTATTTCTGGCCACTGTGTGATACAGAGTGTTGGACTGGATGGGCCTTTGGCCTGATCCAACATTGGCATCTCTTATGTTCTTATGTTCTTATGTTTTTTTTTTTTGCAGTGTATATTTATTTGTTACTAGACCCACCTGGAGGTTGGCAACCCTAACTACATGGCAAGGAGAAATTCAATAGGTTTAGTTGCTCCACTGTGGGAATAACCTGTGCCAACTTCATGTTGGGAAACTGTCAGTGGCCCAGGAACATTAGTCAAGAAACGATTTGGTAACCCTCTTTATGCAGAAAGAGCAGACACTTCTGCCATTTTTTTTTCTTGATGCAAGGTAAGACACCCCCACACACCATCCCTTCCCCATATTCCCAAAGAAGATGTGTCTAGAAAACTTGCCTCTCTATTTAGCTCTAAGAGGGTGTAGCTGAATTTCTACATCAACACCAAGCACCCAAAGGCAAAAGTGAAAAGGGACAGAACCCAGGAATTATTTCAGGAAGAAATTGTGTGGTAAAAGAGGTGAAGCAAAAGCTGTGAGTCAGCCAGGGTTAGTGAGCGGGCTCCCTCAGGTGTCAGAACTGCATCAGAGCACAAGTAACAGGTTAAAAACCGCTGTACATTAGACAGTATCTTGGGACAGGAGACTAGGCCAACAGTTTGTCAACCTGCTGGATGACCTTGAGCAAGCCGTAGTTCTGAAGAGCTGTTCTTGAAAAAGAGCAGTTTCTGTCAGAGCTCTCTCAGCCCCACCTACCTCACAGGGTGTCTGTTGTGGGGAGGGGAAGGGAAAGGAGTTTGTAAGCCGCTCTGAGACACCTTTGGGTAGTGAAGGGCAGGGTATAAATCCAATCTCTTCCTCTCTTCTCTTCCTCTTCTCTCTTCTCTCCTCATGAGAGAGCAGACAGTTTAGCACAGGAGCAGGCAACCCCTAGCATGTGTGCCAAACAGTAGCATGCCAGGCTACTTTGCTTGGCAGACATGGCTAGTCCTCTGCCCGAGGGACTGAAGGAAGTTCTTGAGGGGCTGGCCGTCCTTCTAGGACTTGGCTTGTTCTTAGTCTGTCTGGCGAAGAGCAACCCTCACACACCCTTTTCTTTGCCAGCTCACCGACATCTCATAGACAGACACTACAGGTTTTTTGCACTCCAGACCCGAGTGCTCCTACTCATTGGAATGAGCTTCCGGATGAGATCAGGGCCCTGCGGGACCTTTTGCAGTTTTGCAGGGCCACAAAAAGGGAGCTCTTCCATCAGGCATATAGGTAGGGAGCCGCATCTTACCATCTATGTCCTGTCCCAATCTTATTCCCAGCCTGAGCCCGCCGACAGTGGAGGTACTGCTTATCTTATTATAGTTACATTGCCACCGCTATGTTAATGGTTTTAATAACTTACTGTGTATTTTATATTAATATTTATAGTAATATTTATACTAATGTATATTGTTGTTTTATCTATGGTTCTCTTGTAAGCCGCCCGAAGCCTGCCCCGGCGGGGAGGGTGGGGTAAAAATGCAAATAAATAAATAAATAAAGGTTACGCACCTTCAATCTAGCATGAAGAAAATAAGATCCAGAAAGGAAGCAGGAAGCTGAAGAGACAGTACCTGGATGGAATGACAAGTCTTGTGCCTTGGCCTGAAGGTTCTTTCTCTCGGCTTTCCTTCTGCGTTCGTAGGACGTTTTATAGCTACCCAGTAGGAGTGACTTCATGCTTAGGGAGGGAAATGTTCTGGATCGTGGATGTGATAAGCCTTGTTACAGGTTGCTTTCCAAATGCAAAACACATTTCACTTCTTAAGCTTTTGAGTCACTGGGAGTTTGAACTGATTCACATAGGGTGCGTTCAGATGGGCAGCTAATCCCGTCATTATGCCAGCTTGAATTTTATCCCGATTTTTTTAATCCATCGTAGCACGACCAGACATCCCCCTGGTGAATCGCCTTACCGCGCACTGCCTCCGTTGTGGATTGTCTAGATGGTGTTCACTGAAGGAGACATGTGCGGGGGTTTTAAAAAACTTTTTGCACATGCGCATAGGCATCACGGCGCATCCTTGTTGAAGGAGGCGTGCGGTGGGTTTAAAAAACTTTTTGTGCATGCGCATAGATGTGACAGCACATCCTTGTTGATCCGCGCATGTGTACAGATTTTTTTTAAATGGCGCCCGCTCGGGATGGTCTGACGTCAGACCACCCCGATGGGAGGATTGTGCGCTAGTGGAACAATCAGACGGGTGAAAGTCCGCAGTTGTCCCGCAGGTAACCGAAAACCCCAGATTTAAAATGCTATCTTTTAAGCATGGCTCCGAAGCGCGGCAAAACAGGATGCCCACGGAAGAGGGACATTTCCCAGATGTTTGTGTCTGGACATTAACTTTAGATCCGTGAGGCTATTGTGCCTCGCGCAGATCTAAGGAGCCATCTGATCGGACTCATAGACATTTTTAAGGAGGTGATATCTGCATAATTTGTCTTAAAGAGAGATTCCAGCCAATTTTAGAAGATATTGCAATGCCCAGTGAGCTGCAATCATTGATGCTACTTCACACACCAAAAGAACAGGCTTTTATTCTAGGCTTCCCAAGTCCCCCCAGGGGGCGGGAAACCCCCGACCCAGAGACACGTTCCCCGCCGGTTGCGGATCAGGCCCCGGGGGGAACCCCACCCCGACATGCGCATCATCCGGAAGTGACACGACCACGCCGGGCACGCTGGGGGCGGGGCCACTGTCATCCGAGGGAAAACTCTATGGTTTTCCCTCGGATGGTCGTGGTCCCGCCCCCAGCATGCTCGGCGTCCTAACGTCACATTCTCCGCGCGCTCGCTCCAGCTGCAGCGCGGGAGTTCCCCGGTAAACAGAAGTTTCAACTTGGCAACTCTACTTTATTCAAAGATATTTCCAACTCTGACTATGACTGAGACAAAACGTTTTGCATTCAAAATATTGTTAAGCTGTTGAATCTCCAATTCAGGAATTCTTTCTCTAAGGCTGCGGTCACACAAGCTAAATAATCCACTTTCAATCCAATTTCAGTGCACTTTCCAACTGGATTTTTACTGTGTGAACTGGCATAATCCAGTTGGAAAGTGCATTGAAAGTGGATTGAAAGTGGATTGTTTAGTGTGTGGTAAAGGTAAAGGTAAAGGTTCCCTTGCTCGAAAGCCAGTCGAATCCGACTCTAGGGTTGCGGTGCTCATCTCCGTTTCCAAGCCGAAGAGCCAGCGCTGTCCGAAGACGTTTCTGTGGTCATGTGGCCGGCATGACTAAACACCAAGGTGAACGGAACGCTGTTTCCTTCCCACCGAAGTGGTACCTATTTATCTACTTGCAATTTCTTGCTTTCGAACTGCTAGGTTGGCAGGAGCTGGAACTAGAGACAGGAGCTCACCCCGTCATGCGGCACCCGGGTCTTGAACTGCTGAACTACTGACCTTCCACAGCCTGCAGTTCAGCGTCTTAACCACTTGAGCCACCGCAGCTCCTTTAGTGTGTGACCACTGGCTAATTTAAGATCTGTGGTTTGGATCCAGACAGCTTTTTCACTTAGCCCCTCTGCCAAACTACATGGCTTTTGTCCATGCAGGTCCCATGATCCCCAGCATAGCAGGCAGTCAGCTGTAGAGTTGCCAGCTCCAGGTTGGGAAATACCTGGGGATTTGATTTTGGGGGTGGAGTCTGGGGAGGGTGGAGTTTGGGGTGGAGAGGGACCTCAGCAGGGTATGATATCATAGAGTCCACCCTCCAAATCAGCCATTTTCTCCAGGGGTACCAATCTTGGTCATCTGGAGATCAATTGTAATAATGGGAGATATCCAGGTGCCACCTGGAGGTTGGTAACCATAGCTGGGACACCTCTTTTTTCAGCACCAAATGAATTCTGAACACCTCAGAGATCCAGATCCACACAGATACCCACCCCTCAGTTACATCTTTCTGCAATGCATACTGCATGGATCAGTTGTAGAACTGACTTGCATGTCTGCAGTGGAATTGTAGCTAAGATTCAGCTTGGTTTCTCTGCTTGGACCTCACCATAAACCTTGTCCATAGGTTTATGAGAGCCAGTTTGGTGTAGTGGTTAAGTGCGCGGACTCTAATCTGGGAGAACTGGGTTTGATTCTCCACTCCTCCACTTGCACCTGCTGGATGACCTTGGGCAAGCCGTAGTTCTGATAAGAGCTGTTCTTGAAAAAGAGCAGTTTCTGTCAAGAGCTCTCTCAGCCCCACCTACCCCACAGGGTGTCTGTTGTGGGGAGGGGAAGGGAAAGGAGTTTGTAAGCCACTCTGAGACACCTTTGGGTAGTGAAGGGCGGGGTATAAATCCAATCTCCTCCTCCTCCTCTTCTTCCTCTTCCTCTTCCTCTTCCTCTTCCTCTTCTTCCTCTTCTTCCTCTTCTTCTTCTTCTTCTAATATGGCATCAAAGTCACTACTCCTTTTCCTCTGTTCCCAAGAACTAATTCCTACCAACCTGGCAATTAATCCACAATTACATTGGTACACAATGTATGGCAACAACTGGGGCATCAAGTTTGGGCATTCATTTCTTCAAGTAGTTGCATCTTGCTCTTTCAAAACCAAGTCTGCCCGCTGTGAAAGTTCTTTTCAGAGGTGTAAAAAAATTCCACCGGAGCCACTCCCAAAATACTTTCAAGACTTCCTTCCTTGTTTGTTCAACGCAGCATCTTTCCAGTGTCATTCCTTTTCATCCAGAGCACCTAACTAGTACATGCTGGCTTATGTCTAGTCAATGCCAAGATGAAGTTGATTCAGAATGCATCTGACAAAGCTACATCAATTAAAAGTATATAAATCATTTACAGGTTCCAAATGTTTTCTGTAATGCAAAATCTCTGGCTAAAAATATAACTTAGGTCGTGGTCATGTGGTCATTTTGATTGGGTTTCACAACTGTTCCCTATCGCATTTAAAAGGGCTGATCAGACACAGCCAATTCTGTCTTCTGTATTGAAGTGGGTTCACCCCCGCAATCCTCCCAGTTTTCTAGTGTGTTTTCCGACACCGGGAAAATCAACTACTTTCCTACTACTTGCGCTATGAATCTGCAATTTCTCCTATCTTGAGAGCCATCTCTCACGATGAACGTGATTAGGTCATCTGTACATCCTTCTTGTGGTAGTTCCCCCCCCCAGCTTTCACCATTGTGCGCATGACCAATCCTGTGCTGAATATATTTAATGCATGAATGCTCAAGCACACATAGACCGGCTCTCGGTTGCACATCGGTAGTTCATTTTGTTCGCTGTTTGGGGGGAAACGCTGCATCCAAGTGGGAGCTGTGATCTGCACATGCGCATATGCGCATGTGTGAATGCATAAAGAATTTTTTTTTTAATGGTGCTGCACTGCCACTTGGGCGGCGCAGCTATCTGGATGGTGCCTGGACTCTTGTCGTGCGATGCAAGTGGTTGGGCAAGGGATGTGTGATCATCCAAACCTGCTAAAAAATATCCCTGATCAAATCTACATTGGGAACAAATAGGTAGGCAGAAACTCACCATACAGCTCAGGGTTGTTTCAGGTGAAATATGACAAGAGCCATATACAAAATACATATACGCCACATCAGCTATTTAGTGCACACATATATCGTTTTGAGGTCCTTGTCCCTTTAAAAGATACCTGGAGGGGGGAGTTGGTTCTTTTTAGTGTATATCCTAAAGGGTCAAGGACCAAAACAATCCATGTTTGTGTGTTTCACAGTTGATAAACCTCACAATTTTTTGTACATGAATATTGTGCCTGATTCCAAAAACACCACATATAAAGATGCCCTCTGAACTTGGTCCAATTCATGCAATAATATCTGGGCACCTTTTTATCCTGCCAAGGAACTACACATTACACTGTTCCCAGGTCTTGTCAAGTAAACACATACTGGGAGTTCCCAGTCAAAACACAGACTGTCAGATGGCTGTTCTCACTTCAGGCTAACAAAAGACAATGTCAACTAAAGGATTAAAATCTGTGTTTTTTAAGTATAAAGCCAAAAATCTTGTTCAATAAGCCTACCCCAATGCCTAGCAAAAACACATTTGGTCCACTCTTCATTGCCAGACAGAAAGATGTTACAGACCCTAACTGTCTCCCACTGGCGCTCTGATTGGCTGGGAGATGTATATAATCTCTTCTCAGTCAGGCAGTCTTCAATCCTACAGTAGTGTACAGAGAGTAAGAAAAACTGAGCATCTTCCCTTGGCAACAAGGTACAAAATTGATTGCAATAGTAATGCAATATATTTATAGCTATGAAAATGTTATTGATATATCTGATTGTCAACATCGCCCAATATGTGAATACTTAAATCCAGAGACTGGGGCCATGAATGGACAAGACTGGGGTGGCCAAACCTGCATAATGTAAGAGCCACATAGAATAAACATCACATGTTTGAGAGCTGCAAGACATGAACAAATATTACACACACATTTTTATTGAAAAATATGCACATTTGCTTTTTATTAACATTAAATGAGACTGCTGAAAGTAAAAACAAAAGGGGTAAAAACAAATATTGATAATGATATTTGTCAAACGATATTTATTTGTTTGCTAATGATATTTATCTGTCTAAGAGAGAGAGGTGGAAAGAAAGAAAGAAAGAAAGAAAGAAAGAAAGAAAGAAAGAAAGAAAGAAAGAA